TTATGTGTTTCATATTCTTTCGTAGTGTTCATCGAGTTTCATGATGTCGGTTTGGTGATTTTTCAATGTTTATTGGAATCAAAATATTTTTTAGTTAAAATGTTCATAAAATTAAATTATGATAGTCTACATTTTTTTTTAAAGTTACTTTAAGAAAAAAAAAATGATCATAAATTCATTCGGTAATCATATCAGGCTAAAAATTTAACCTATAAGGATTGGAGGAGAAAAACTGTTTCTAAGTTAAAATTTAAATTTTTGGGTTAAAAATTTTGAATTTTAACCCAAGAGTTAGAGATGGTCTAAAATTGTCACCCATTATGGAGAATTTATGATATGGTACAGTAGTAGTACGATCTCACTTATGGTACTCCCATTTTTAGTTTGAAATTAAAAATTATTAAAAAGGAAGAAACATAAAAACGATGTCACTTAATAGTTAATACTATGATAATTCTTCTTCACTTGTAAATGAGAGGTCTTAGGTTCGATTCTAAGGTGAAATTGAACCACATTTGTAAGACTTAGCTCACTTCACACCCCCTAGTGTAGATATTATCGTTTGTTTAAAAAAAATGATAAACAGACACATATATACGCCCTGTCGTTCTCAATCTCTCTACCAACAAATAGCAGCTGCATCTGCAATCAGCCATGGGTAAAGTTCACAGCTGGTTGCTCGCACGTGTCAGGAAAGTTAGGGGTCAGACCCCAAAGGTCGCCAAGCAAGACAAGAAGAAGCCCAAAGGCTACGTCTACAAGCGCTTGCACTAAAACCAGGAATTCGTCACCGCAGTTGTTGGATTTAGGAAGAAGAAGAGGCCTACTTGTTGATTGCGGATGTTGTTGTACTGCAAGCAACCACTCTTCTGAGTCTCTGTAGTGCAAGTGATTGCAGATACAAGCGATTTTTTTAATTTAGTTTTTGAGAGACATAAATTGAATTTCAAATCTAATATAAAAATAGAGGACACATGTCAAGGTTTCAATGGAAGTACCACCTTCCACGCTGTGGTATGGTATTATCTAATAACTTATTCACATTTTGATTCTAATAAATCAATTTTATGTGCGAAATTTGGAGAGAGCGAAATATAGATTCAAGAATTATTGTTAATTCGATGTGGTGTTTCTTATCTTAATTAAGTCCATTATTAGACTTAGGTTGAGCTTTCTGAAAATTACCAATTCTGATGCTAAAAGTCTATTTTGCGGGTATGAAATGTCCACATTGATAGTTAGGGTATTTTTTGTTGCCATCATCTTGGGGGTTTGTTCTTTCCTCATGTTGTTGTTGCTGATGTGACACAATGGTGTTTGTTTCTGGTGGTTGCAGCTTGTGCTATGGGTGGGCAAAATGGCCCTCGACTCGTTGGTCGAGACGGGTCCTTGCAGGTCGGGGCGGGTTTGAAGTGAGTTTAAATTTTAAACACAAATCAAGTGGGGTGGGACGAATCCACGTAATTAGCAGGGCGCGCGAGTCTAAAAATTTGAGGAAACGGGCCTTTGGGTCGAACTGTTTCCATCATTGATTTGTGATTTCCCACACATATCAAATAAGTATCAATATGTTCTCTCTCTCAGTCTCTGTCTCTCCCAACTCTAATATCCAAAATTCTCAAACTCACCACCTGATCCAGTCTATGTCTCTTTCTCGACTCTTCGTCCCCATCCCGTCTATTGAGGTCCCTCCCACCCACCACATGACCACCATGTTGACCCATTCTCTAAGCTGGCAACATGAGCTACGACTACAATCTTGACAAGAGTAGTGGTGGTTGCTGCAGAAATGCCCTTTGCCACAGGAATATCAGCAATGAGCAACAGTCAGAATTTTTGCTGGTAACTGTTTTGCCCTCGCAGCACCCTCTAGTGGTGTAAAAATCTTAAGCCGCATCTGAAGCATCTTCCACTCTAGTCTTAGCCTATTTCTTGTCGATCGAGGTACCTCTGACCCACCACCTGACCACCATCTCCGTCGATCTTGGTTTGCTTGGTTTGAGCCTATGAGCCTTTAAAAAGATCCTCGAGTTCATTAAAGGTTCACTGTTTACTGATTTGAGTTTGATTTAGGATTTTTTTTAATATTATTTTCTCTGATTTGGGTTTTTTCTGCATTTGGTCCTAGTTAGGAACTTAGGTGGATACAAATTCTAGATTTGAGTTTTTTTGCATTTTGTTCTAGTTAGGAATTTGTAATGAGGAAGTAGAACATAAACACAAGCATTACTCAACGTTGCCTTTGGAGAATTCTCCGCATCAGGAATTGGACTTGTGGAAACATTGGAACTGACCTGTTTTAAACGGGCCGAGTTAGGTCCGGTTCCATTTTTTAAAATATAATGCCCCGTCCTGCCCCTTCCCCTCCGCCCTATTTCATTTCCAAAGGGGTTCAGTTCGGTTATTCCAAATTTGGACCCGGCTTAGGACATGCCCACCCCTAGCTTGTGCTGCTTGTTTTATATGGTGCTCCCTGCCCTTTTCAACTAGTTGCAGATGTTGGGTGTCATTTCCGCTTCACACCCACCACCATCGCTATTCCCATGATCATGACCATCACCACCTTGCCATCACATGATCCCAACCATCATGTTCACCGCCAACATGCCTCTTTATGTATGACAATGTTCAAACTTAGCATGTGAACAATGCAAATCAAGTGACATAAAACACGTATAGTTTTTGGACTTCACATGTTGATCAACCTACTCTAATACCATGAATAAATTTGATGTTCCACCATATTGACATATGAGGAATGAACTAACACCTTATAAGCCCTTGCAAAGTTCCTTCTCTAACGTGAGACTTTGTCTTTCAAACCCTCAGTCATAACCGTTACCACCACCACCACTAGTATATTTGCTAAATATCACCTCTCATTTATTGATTAATTAACACATTATATTTCATAATATTGTTATGTTTGCCAAACAAAAACCTTCACAGCAGATGATGCTTTATCACAATGGTGGAAAACAATGATGTTTATGCATCCTTGTGCAAGTTCGATTCCTATCGATTCTTCTCCCCTCAACAACTATCAATTTAAGCCAATAACATTATCTTGTGTATAAAATAAATAAATAAATAAATAAATAAAAACCCACCTTCACAACTTCTATAAGAATAATTTCTGTCATTGGCAATAAGTCTCAATGGAAAATTTTAAAGCACAACAATAAGGTCAACAATACCTTACGATACAGAATGTTAGGCAGTTAAGTATCAACATGTGCAAAAGAATTAGTGTGGCGGAGATAAGAATGTTTCGTTAGACTTGGATGTGTGGGCAAAGAGACAAGATTAAGAATGAACATATCCAAGGTAAAGTAGGAGTTGCCGCAATTGAAGATAAGATGAGAGAAAATTGGTTAAGGTGGTTTGGACATATGAAACGAATACCTACATATACTTTCGATTAGGAAATGCGATTATGAGATAGATGCTTAGGGAAAAAATAGTAGAGGAAGACTTGGAAAGAGATTTTAAGGAAAGATATGGAATACTTGGAGCTAACGGAAAACTTAGCGAAAATTCGTGTGCAGTAACATTCAAGGATTCATACGGCGGACCCTACTTAGTAGAATAAGACTTTGTTGTTTTTGAAAATTTTCTTAATATTCTTAAGTTTCCTCATATCATATGTAAAGGTAATGTTACATTAGAGAATCCAAAACTCTCAATATTCTTAAGTTTCCTCACATCATATGTAAAGGTAATGTTATATTAGGGAATCCAAAAATCTTCAATTGTACGTTTACTCTTAACTATATTGCAATATACCATTAACATATAGAAAGCTTGATATTGCACCAACAACAAATTAATTAAAGTCATAAAAACCTAAAACTAGTATCATAATTGCATTAAAAGTTTACTCTTTCACGTTAGATAGGGAAACAAATGGGTATTTATCAATATAACTAAAAATTAACTCTTAATTTTAAAAATGACACTTTTTATAAAAACTTTCAAATATATCCAAAACTTCACTGAAATAGACCCAAATACCCTCAAATTTAACAATCAAATAAATTAAAGATTTTTTAGCCAAAATAGTTCGTAACATTTACATAACTCCTTAATTTAGTGCTTAACAATAAAAATCAATAATAGTGTCATGGAATTTGTCTATCATGAATCATTTTTGTCTTTCTTTGAATTTGTCCATTGTGATCATTTTAGTCTTTTCGAGAAAAATCTGTTAAATTGCTCTATTATTACGATGATATGGCGCCACGTAGGGCTCACAAATACAATCATATAATGATATGTGAATTAACTTTAAAAACTATTTTTATAAAATTAAAAATTAAAAATTAAAAATTAAAAAATTAAAAAAATTAAAAATTTAAAAAATTAAAAGAAGAAGTCGTCTTCTTCATTTGGTGGGTAAATCCAACAGACATGCCCAAATCAAAAGGCCTAACCTACCTAAACCCTTATTCTCTCACAATCCAAACCCTCCACCTTCCAATCCAAATTTTCACACCCTGAGATAAATTTAGTGGTTCTTTCTTAAAATTTTCCTTTTCCAATTGCGTTCGAAGATTATAGAGAATTGATGTGATTCGGAAAGAGTTTCTACATCCATGAATTGGCGAAGACATGATTGAAATTTTGCTGCTCTCACTTGCAGTAACCGAGGTGGCGCTCAATGTCGATGATGAGGGGGTCAAGGGGGATAGGGTTATGGTGGTGGAGTGTAGAAGAGAATGTGAAGTTAGACCGGAATTTGAGGCAATGGTGGCTAAAAAGCCTTTAATTTATTTGATTGTTAAATTTGAGGATATTTATGTCTATTTAAGTGGAATTTTGGATATATTTGAATTTTTTTTTATAAAATGTTACATTTTTGAAATTAAGGGTGAATTTTTGATTATATTTGATAAATACTCGAAAAAAACATAGTATCATAACTACTCAAGATCATAAAATGCCAATTTCTTATATTTCCTGATTACAAATTGTAATTGTTACAAAAATAGGACAGAATGTGAATGAAGAAAATTAGAAGAATTGAGTGTATTCGGACGACCATGGATATAAACATCTAAGGTCAATTTACAGAAACTAAGACTCCTCTAAATATCTAATATTACACATATATGGGCTCCAAATATACTTGCGGATAGCCACACGATTAACAATATCTACAACAATCATACATAAAGAATAAGATTATTAGTCATATGTGTTCTTCTTTTCCTATCCTTTCGGAATGTTGAAAATATAAAGGAGGCCACTAAACTGTTTGTCTAAAACCCTAAACGGAAACCATGCCAGCAACGTAAGGCACACCGCTGGGCTTGATCCACTTATCACCCTCAACAAATTTACCGGAGGTGAAAGCGACAGCCTGGTCGGCACCAAGATTCTTGATACCGCTCCACTTCACCCTCTTGCTCATGTCGGAGCCAGGCCCTCTGTTTCTGTATTCGCCAAACCAGCAACTTTGATGATTGTTCGAACCCGTCCACTCCATCCACCCTTCCGGAGCAATGATGCCATCAATCTGCGACTGCATAACGACGGTCCTAGCGAGGTTCTTCCACGGCCTCCCCAGGTACGACTTGTTCTTGTCCTTCACGGGAATGTACTCCGGGTCCCCGGAGATGGTGCAGTTTTGGAGGATGATACCCGAGGGCTGACGCCGGTCAATTCTCCCTTGGGCTGTGACCATACAAGCTTGGTTGTCCATTGGTTTTCTTACGATCATCTTGCAGTTCTGGAACACTACGGCAGCGTCACCAAAGATAAAGTCGATTGTGCCGCTGATGGTGCAGTCGCGGTAGAATTGCCGGTGGGTTTGAGTGTAGAGAGTGTCTTGGTACCCGTCCATTTGGCAGCGGTAGAAGATGGACAAGTCCGACTGCACTCGCAGAGCCACGGCTTGGTGCCCTTCGGCTCCTGCTGAGTTCTCAATCCCTATGTCCTTAGCAATGAAGTAGTCCCCAACTACAACTGCATATCAATGAAATGTCAACTAGTTAATTATTAACGTGTTATATATTGTCAAACTGTTAATACTAAATATTGGTCATGATTAAAGTTATAATACATAAGTATAAATCATATGTAGTTTTCTAATGTACAATGTTATGTACGAGTTCAGCTGAATTCTCAAGGGCCCTTGAACAATCACGATTCATAAGTCATAATTAATCATAAGAACATCATGATTCATGTATGAATTCACGTTATTCTCTAATCCTATGTCATCCTTTACAACGAAATAATCTCTCAAAGTCTCAAACAGCTACATATAATTTACGCTATGTTATTCTAGTATGTCTGTTATAGTCATATTGTGAAAACCTATATTACACATGCCACATATACATGTCCGAAAGAGAATGAAGTTTGTAAGAGACTTCGCTCAAATACTTACCAACTGTTGCAGTCTGAAAAGTTTGGACTCCCGCAGCGAAGTTTTTGCTACCGGTGACCTTGGTCTTAGTAGCGCCATCCCCAATCAACATGACGTTGGTCATATACTTGTCAATCATGACATACTCACTGTACACTCCCTCCTTCACATAAATCACAAACGTCTTGTCCGCATTGTTCTTCGGGATCATCTTCACAGCTTCACCAATAGTCTCGTACTGTCCGCTCCCATCCTTAGCCACCACCGCGTCTGGTTTAATCGACTGTGGAGTCACGGTAGACACGTCGAGGCTACGCTTATTGTTGATCCACGTAGGAATAACCTTTGGAGCATTCTTCGCATTACTTCCACCCCCTCCCCCTGCCAGCAAACGACGCCGGTTTGCTTTCAAATTCAGAGACCCAAGAACGGACGTAATTTCGGTCACCATGGCAAGTCCGTTGCTGGTGAGCTGTTGCGTGGTGTTCAAGAAATGCTTCATCTTTTCGCCTGCGTCACCTTTGGTGTTCTGAAACCCGTCCAAGCATGTTTGTTGGTAAGTAATAGCCGCGCTGAGCCAGACCTTGAGATCTTCCGCGTAATCGTCGATCTTGCTGATGTCGAAAGGACCCAATTTTTGGAAAGATGTCGTGATATCGTCGATGGCATACTCCAAGAGCTCCTTGCAATTTTCTAGAGCTTGGTTTGTACTTTCGTCCTTGGCCAGTTCTTGCAATGTGGTGGAGTTTTTTATGATGGCCCGAAGTTTGTCCATGGTAACGTTGAAACCTGCCTTGATGAGGTCCTTCGGCTCCGTGCTGTTGCCAGCAGCCGATTCCAGACTCCTCTCGCAGGTTTCCTTATAATCCGTCGGCTGGCATATAGCCTTTATTGCTTTTGTCGACGTGGTGACATGCCCGCCGTCCGAGTTTTTGTGCCCTCCTCCTCCTTTGTTTTTTGCGGTTACCCCAACCGTTACGGCAACCACCATGGCTACTAGAATCACAGATGAAACGCCGATGATGGCGAACTTCTTCTTCTTATTATGTTCAGCGTTCATGTTGAAGAAATTTACAGGTCTTTGGTACTTAACGTTTACGTACGTAACATGTTTCTTTTGTTATTTTTTATACTGCATGGGGGTTTATTTTTATATTTTTTTATAGTGGCTGGTAATTCTGTTAAGGAACCTGGGGCGGGAGAGTTGCAAGTCACGATAAAATTATCAGGGGTCCTTAATGTTTTCCAAATTTGGGAACCTCCAAATTAATTAAGCTATTTGCGGACCCTTAATTATAAAGGGATAATTGATATGTGTTTTATGAGTGGCTTATTAACTCCTCCAATCGTGGACTACCAACGACTACTGGAAAGATTGTATCTAGCTTAATTAGTTTGATGGTTCAATTGTATTAGTAATTTTGTATTAATCTAAACCGTCGGAAAAGGAATTCGAATTGGTGTGAATATATAGGATTCTAGTTCTTGTTATAATATTAATATATAGTTAGAAAACATCTATAAGCTACTCTATTTATTTAACATCGGCGAGAGAGGTGTGTTTCCACAAATATATATCTAATTGTGTGATTCAAATGAGACGGTTTGTTTTCCTCCCAAATAAATGAAAAGGTTTGAAGTTACAAGGAAGCCTTCTTCAGACTTAAAAAAAATGTAGAGTTGCGAAAAGAGTGCGGGAGAATAATATGTATCTTTTCAATCTATGAAAGAACAAGTCTGGACTCCATTGAAGAAGTGGACCATTGAGCTTCTTTTTTTCTTCTTCTTTTTTTTTTTTTGTTAAAATTTTATCACGGTATCAGCAGAGTTCGAAAGAGGAAAAAAGAGAAGACATGAGTCAGAAATGTGCAACAAAAGTAATATGTTTCGTTACCAGCTTGAAGAAAAAGAAGTTATATAGCAACACCAGGAGGACACATGGCTCATCCTCAATTAGAACCTCAAGTATGAACAAAGAGAGAAGAAATTAAGGAAAACCTCTCTCATGTCAAGAAGAAAAGAAGAGAACAACTCCCTTATGTGAAAAGAAAAATCAAGGGCAACAAGGGCAGTGAAGGAAACGATAGAAGTGTATGCGTTCATCCCATGTTTGCACCTTCAACTTATGAAGAATATTGACTTTCAAAGATTGTTTTGTATTTTTCATTATGACTTCATTACAATTGTACAACAATATATAAGGAGACTGACTCTCCTTGATTTAAGCCATAACATGCGGCTTAGGGAAGATAAACAACAGCTCCTTGAATTAAGGAGTTGCCAACTTAGATTAGACTCCTACACAAATTGTTACTGATCACAAGAAAAGAGAACCGACTATTAACCCCTTAGAGAATGACAATACCCAGAAGAAACATACTTGCGTAGTTGCCCTAACCCTTATTGTCCAGTTTTACCGTAACCCATCTTAATATTTAGGAAACCCTAATAAACCACTGGACTACTTCCAATACTCCCCCTCAAGCTGGATCCAGAAGGTTTATGGATCCAAGCTTGGATAAAAGTCGTTGAAACTGATGTGAACGCAAGGGTTTTGTGAAGATGTCGGCCAGTTGATCGAAGCTTCTTGTATAATGGGTCTGAATCACCTGCGATTGTACTTGTTCCCGAACATAATGACAGTTACCTTCAATGTGTTTCGTCCTTTCGTGAAACATTGGGTTTGATGCTATATGCATGGCTACCTGATTGTCACAAAATAAGGACATAGGGAAAGTTGTAAACACACCTAGGTCACACAGAAGACCTTTTAGCCATATCAGCTCACACGCAGTTGAGGCCATTGCACGATACTCAGCTTCGGCGCTTGCTCTTGCGATGACAGTTTGCTTTTTACTCTTCCAGGTGACCAAGTTTCCATCGACAAAGGTACAGTAACCAGTTGTGGACTTACAATCGATTGTGTTTCCTACCCAATCGGCATCGCAATACCCCATGATTTGTGTGTTCTCATTCTTCATGATGATGCCACGACCCACAGACCCTTTTAAGTAGCGTAAGATCCTTTTAACAAGGTTCAAATGATTGATTGTGGGAGAGTGCATGAATTGGCTTACGATACTCATTAAATATATGATGTCAGGTATGGTGATTGTTAGGTAAATTAACTTACCAACAAGTCTCTAATAATAGCTTACATTGGTAAGTGGCGTGCCCTCCAAGCTAGGTTTGATCTTGCTATCAAGAGGAGTAATGGCAGGTTTAGCATCGCTCATGTTAGCTTCCTTGAGCAAATCCATGACATACTTTCTCTAAGCCAAGGAAATACTTGAATACCCCTAGGTCTTTAATTGCAAACCTTTGTCTGAGTGACTGTTTGAGTTTGAAGATCTTTTCAGCATTATCACCTGTAATTATTAAGTCATCAACATAGATCAACACAACCAATTTGCCCACAGCTCCAGTGCGAACAAATAATGATGAATCGGCATTGCTCCTTTTGAAACCAACACTAGTGAGAACTGAGCTTAGCTTAGCATACCAAGCTCGAAGAGATTGTTTCAGTCCATAAATTGATTTGTGCAATTTGCACACTAAATCAGGCTCATTACTTTAAGGGTGCCCTGGTGGCAATTTCATATAGACTTCCTCTTCGAGATCACCATGCAAGAATGCATTCTTCACGTCCATTTGGTACATGGACCATCCCTTATTGACAGCCATGAACAATAGAACCCTAACTGAGTTCATTTTTACAACAGGTGCAAATGTTTCTTTGTAATCGACCTCGAATGTTTGAGTGAAACCCCAAGCCACCAACCTTGCTTTATGCCTTTCAATTGACCCATCTGAATTGAATTTGATCTTATAAATCCATTTACAACCCACTACCCTTTTTCCTTTTGGAAGTTTGGTGATACTCCAGGTTTTGTGTTGGTCTAAAGCTTGAAGTCTTTCTCGCATTGCTTTTTTCCACATATCTTTGTTGTTAGCCTCATGGAAATTCTGAGGCTCACTGTAACTTGAAATGGTGCTTAAGAATGCAGTATAAGAGTGAGTCACCTTTTGGTACGACACACAACTGGAGATTGGATGCTTGGGTTTGTAGGTGACGAAGTCCTGAAACCTTGTGGGAGGTTGTCTATCACGCATTGGATTGCGTTATGGGGCTGTGAGGGTTGTCTCACACTCATTCCTGTCTTAAGCCACACTGTGAAGATCATCTTGATGGTCACCATTGTACCATCAGAGTGAGTGCCTTCATTGCTACTTTTAGTGAGTGATGCATCAATGTTGACATGGCTGGGACCTCTATTTGTTGAAGCATCAAATTCGATTCTTGGTAGAGGAAACAAATCAAAGATACACTCCATTTGACTTATGGTTTCAAGTGACTTGCCGTAAAAAGGGTTAGTCTCATGAAATCGAACATCTTTAGACACAATCAATCTCCTCAGTTGGCGATTATAGCACTTATATCCCTTTTGTGTAGATGAATAACCAAGAAAAATGCATTTAACAGCTCTAGAGTCCAATTTATCTCAGTGATGAGGTTGCATATGTACAAAACAAATACAGCCAAAAACTCTAAGGTGTGAAAGATCAATTTTCCTTCCTTTTATGACCTCTAGGGGAGATTTAAACTCCACGACTCGGCTAGGAAGTCTATTGATGATATATGCAATTGCCATGACTCCTTGGGACCAAAATCTCTTTGGTACATTCATTTGTAGCATTAGTGCTCTAGTTTTTTCAAGTAAGTCACGATTTTTCCTTTTGGCTATGCCATTTTGTTGAGGTGTGCCAACACAACTTGTTTGATGCATGATGCCATGATTGCTCAAATATTGTGTCATGATATGGGATGTGTATTCGGTGCCATTGTCAGACCTTAAGGTTTGAATTTGAGAAGAGAAATGGTTTTTAACAAGATTATGGAAATCCTTAAATACTTCCATAACTTCATTCTTAGACTTTAAAAGGTACAACCATGTGACTCTAGAGAAATCATCAACAAAAATTACGAAATACTTATAGCCATCAAAAGATTCACCAGTTGGTCCTCATACATTTGAATGAACAAGTTCAAAACTCTTACTAGCCCTGGATAAGGAAGAGTTAAAGGGTAATCTAGTGGCCTTAGATAAGTGACAGGTTTCACATGAAATTACATCCTTCCCTAAGTTTGGAAATAAAGTTGATAAAATGGGTGGAGAAGGATGAGCTAAACGTTGATGCCACAATAAGTTATCTTGGATAGAGTTGGACTTGGCTTGAAACCCTTTGGGATTGCTCTTTGATATGTAATAGAGACCATCTAGATAAAACCCTTCACCAATCGTCTTCTTGGTGGCACAATCTTGAAAAATGACATTGTGAGGAGAGAATATGGCTAAACAATTCAAGGTATTGGTGATTTTTCCCACAGATAGAAGTTGGAATGGAAAGGATGGAACATATAAGGCAACCGACTCAATTTCATCGGACATTAAGTTGATTTTTCCCTTTCCTAAAACCTTTGCATTCTCACCATTTGCAATTGAAACTTGAGAAAGTTTTGATAATTTTTCAAACTTATGAAACTTAGACACATGGTTGGTCATATGGTCTATGACACCCAAATCTACAACCCAAAAATCATGCAATATATTTACATTAAGGGCTTCTTGTGGTATGTGTTCCGTGTCTGCCAAGAAACCCTCAAACTTGCCTAGCAAAGCCATCGAGTTTCCGTCTTCAACGCTATCTATTCGGCCACTTCCAGCCCCTTATTTCTTGCTCTAAAGATACGATGCAAACTCATTTATGAGTGCAGCTAGATTTGCTGTGAAGTTCTTGAATGTGTCAGACCCATTGAAGGTGGAAGCAGACGCATGGTTAGCTCGATGTGTAGTACGGTTCAACCTCTGTAAACCCTTGTTGTCCTTCATGAAATCAGGCTTTAATTCTGGATGCAAAATCCAGCATGTCTCCTTAACATAACCAGTGTAGTTGCAATGTTAGCATTTCAAATTTGGATGCTTCCCTTTGTACTTCCTCTCGTTGGTTAGATAGGCCCTTGCTTCAGTTACATTAGCCTTTGTACCAATGTTCATGACCTTCCTCCTTACTTCTTCACGTTGAATTGTTGCACATACATTGGTAAAGGAAGGAAGTTCAGTGTTCATGAGTATGTGGCTTCGTAGGTCTTCATATTCTGCGTCGAGACTGGACAAGAGCTGAAATATCTTGTCTTCTTCTACCCTCTTTTGTAGCAAAGCCGCATCGGTTATATGAGGACGATATATTTCCAACGCATTCCACATGCTCTTCATGCTACCTAGAAGTTGTACAAAGGGCTTATCTTCTTGTTGTAGGTTGGAGATGTCATTTTTTAATTGGAAAACGCATGCAGCATTGTCCTGATTGCCATACATTTCCTTGACAGTCTCCCATAGCTGGTGTGATGATTCAGAGTAACTGAATATTTCAACTAGTTTACGTTCCATGGAATTCAGGAGCCACGACATAACCAGCTGATCCTTGCTAAGCCAGGATTCATAAGTTGGTGAGGAAGCATCAGGAACTTCGATGCTTCCATTTATGAATCCCAACTTGGACCTTCCACCTAGGCCAAGAAATACTGCTCTTGACCAAGGCAAATAATTAAACTCATTCAACAAGATTGAACTTAATCTTTGATTTGGGTTGACAT